GTAAACCAACTAAAATAATTTTCAGATAGATATATCATCTTTATATTTGTTATAGAAAAAATTGCTTTTAATTCTTTGATCTATCTGAAATATTTATATTCATTCTAATGATATAAATGCAGAGATTATATAAAGCAAATTCTTGTTTGTTTATTATTCAAATTAATTGCTCATATTCTCTTTCGAAAATCAATTACGTAAATCACGTAAAATTTATGTTACATGGAATGAAAAAAATGTTCATAAAAGGATACATATTTAAATATCAGCATTAAAATTTAAGCATTTCAAATATATTATTAATACTGTTACAGATTACTGCGAATATTATTTCATTATATATTATACAATCAATTATAAATAAAATATATATATTGTAAACAATATTAAAACAACATCATGAACGCAATAAGTTACACATATAAATATAATTATTAGACTAATTAAAATTGATTTTTTGAATATTGAATATGCAAATCATATTTAATATGTTAACATTAAATGTAGTATAAATTAATAATTTATGTACATAATAAAAAGGAAAATAATATAAAATGTACATAAATGTACATCAACGATCTCCGCTTCCATCGTTTCTTTCTATTGGCATTGCATCAAAGTTCTCACTATTATCAGATTCTTTATCATCATTTTTTAATAATTTATTATTAGTTATGGTATCACCGCAACATAAATCATTGTAATCTTTCTGAGAATCATTAGTCGCAATTACTTTTTCTTTTTTTAAAATTTGTAGGTCGTTCGATTGCGTGATCACTGGAATGTCTGTTATTTGATTTACGTCGGTACCATGAGTTACCTAAAAAGAGTTCACTTTTGTTTGTCATATTATTTGTTTTCAAATAAATATGTAAAAATATTGGGACAAATATAAGAAATAAAAATATCAAATTAAAATAAAGGGAACTAAATATTACCTTAAGAATTATTTGTACAGGTTCTCGGTTTTCTATATTTTGTAATGAATTACCTTTTTCTTTCTTTTTCTCATGGCCAATTTTAAGTTTTAATAATGGTCCAAACCCTAAATTAAAGGATGCACCAGACAGATAAAATGGTATTGTTATTATAACAAAACCTATACATAAGAAAAGTATACATTTTATAATCCATCTATATGTCCATGATAGATTTTCTAAAACATTAAAAATAATTATTAAATTTACACATATATAATACATTCACATGTACATAAAATTAAACTATTAAATTTATTTAAGTTATTATAATTATTATATATATAATATTATATTATAATTAAGGAAAAAAAAAACTTAGTTACCTGTAGAATTATTTATAAAAACAGATATGATAGATCCTATATGAGTAATTGGATGGAGAATAACAGTAGTAATAAAATGAGATAATGCAAATGCAGGTGTAATTTTTAATTTTGGATTAGTCATTATTGTTTCATAATATTTCTCACAATCGTCATTATCTAAAAAGAAAAAAAAATATTTTATTCTACAATATTATTTATTTATTTCACAATAAATGAATATAATATAATAATACTTACAAAAGAATGAAACAAATTTATTCCATATATTCATTTTATCTGGTTGACATGATATTGGTATCTCTGAAAATTTCATTTGTGCTGCAATAGATTTAACTTCAGCCTCCTTTAGAAAAATATACAACAAAATTAATTAAATTATATTATTTTTTTAAATATTATCATTATATAATTAATATTACTTACCTTTATAAGTTGCCACCATGTCATAAAAAAACTCAATATAAATATAACTTGTATGATACTGAAAATAGGAAATCTTCGTCCCCATGTTATCATTCTAAATGTTGAACAAACTATTAACATTGTAAATATAATTATAGTTCCATCTTGCTAAAATAATAAATTTTATATTAAATACAATTCTTTCA